AGACAGACAGGTCCTTACTGTAGGCATCAACATACAGGGGAACCGGGTCCAAACCTGGGACAGACAGGTGAGAGACAGACAGGTCCTTACTGTAGGCATCAGACATACAGGGGAACCGGTCCCAAACCTGAGGACAGACAGGTGAGAGACAGACAGTCCTTACTGTAGGCATCAACATACAGGGGAACCGGGTCCCAAACCTGAGGACAGACAGGAGAGACAGACAGGTCCTTACTGTAGGCATCAGACATACAGGGAACCGGGTCCCAACCTAGGACAGACAGGTGAGAGACAGACAGGTCCTTACTGTAGGCATCAGACATACAGGGGAACCGGGTCCAACCTGAGGACAGACAGGTGAGAGACAGACAGGTCCTTACTGTAGGCATCAGACATACAGGGAACCGGGTCCCAAACCTGAGGACGACAGGTGAGAGAGAGACAGGTCCTTACTGTAGGCATCAGACATACAGGGGAACCGGGTCCTAAACCTGAGGACAAGGTGAGAGACAGACAGGTCCTTACTGTAGGCATCAGACATACAGGGGAACCGGGTCCCAACCTGAGGACAGACAGGTGAGAGACAGACAGGTCCTTACTGTAGGCATCAGACATACAGGGGAACCGGGTCCCAAACCTGAGGACAGACAGGTGAGAGACAGACAGGTCCTTACTGTAGGCATCAGACATACAGGGGAACCGGGTCCCAAACCTGAGGACAGACAGGTGAGAGACAGACAGGTCCTTACTGTAGGCATCAGACATACAGGGGAACCGGGTCCCAAACCTGAGGACAGACAGGTGAGAGACAGACAGGTCCTTACTGTAGGCATCAGACATACAGGGGAACCGGGTCCCAAACCTGAGGACAGACAGGTGAGAGACAGACAGGTCCTTACTGTAGGCATCAGACATACAGGGGAACCGGGTCCCAAACCTGAGGACAGACAGGTGAGAGAGAGACAGGTCCTTACTGTAGGCATCAGACATACAGGGGAACCGGGTCCTAAACCTGAGGACAGACAGGTGAGAGAGAGACAGGTCCTTACTGTAGGCATCAGACATACAGGGGAACCGGGTCCCAAACCTGAGGACAGACAGGTGAGAGACAGACAGGTCCTTACTGTAGGCATCAGACATACAGGGGAACCGGGTCCCAAACCTGAGGACAGACAGGTGAGAGACAGACAGGTCCTTACTGTAGGCATCAGACATACAGGGGAACCGGGTCCCAAACCTGAGGACAGACAGGTGAGAGCAGGTGAGAGAGAGAGAGAGAGAGGGCGCGCATCAGTACCGCAGATTGTTGTTGGATTGCGGCTGATAACAACAGCTCAGCGAGGTTATTTGCAGCATTCATCAGTTCCTTGGCAATCCTGCCTCCTGGTGTCTGCGGTCTGCGGAAGCCTACTCCCACCTGTCGAGTACAAATGTGCTGAGGTGGACTTTACCCCGGAGACGTCACGGAGAGACGGAGTGGCCCCACGCTTCGGGCTGGGGCCTGCTTCCACCGGGCGTGTGCTGCTGTGCGGAGGAGGATTCACCACGGCTGGGGCCTGCTTTCCACCTGTCCTGGTTCTGCTGTTGCGGAGGCCTGCTCCCACCTGTCCTGGTTCTGCTGTTGCGGAGGCCTGCTCCCACCTGTCCTGGTTCTGCTGTTGCGGAGGCCTGCTCCCACCTGTCCTGGTTCTGCTGTTGCGGAGGCCTGCTCCCACCTGTCCTGGTTCTGCTGTTGCGGAGGCCTGCTCCCACCTGTCCTGGTTTTTCTGTTGCGGAGGCCTGCTCCCACCTGTCCTGGTTTTTCTGTTGCGGAGGCCTGCTCCCACCTGTCCTGGTTCTGCTGTTGCAGAGGCCTGCTCCCACCTGTCGTGTGCTGTGGTGTCGTGTGCTGTTTGCAGAGGCCTGCTTTCACCCCGGGGATACCACGGAGGGACCGGAGCACTTCCACGCTGCTGCTTTCGCCTGTCCTGTGCTGCTGTGCTGATTTGCTCCAGGAACATCGCGGATACTGTGTGCTGGTCTGGGGAAATGGCCCATATCGGGATTCTGCTGTGCCTGTTAACTGTTTTGGACTATGAGAAGATCTCTAGTCTTTCTGAGAAGACTACTGGATTCAGGTCTGTTCTGCCACCCGCAGTGGGCATCCCCTGCAAAGGTTCGGATGTGTTGCTCAAACAATTACCGGTTGCCTTGTCACAGACAATCTGCTCGACAAAATATGTTTGTCTTTTTTATTTTCCTGCGATGATGGTTCTTCAGGACTGCTTCTTAAGCTCTAATCACACTCTCGCAGACCTTTCCGGTGTTTCTAAAGTAGATGATGTATGTGTGTCGCTTAAGAGGAAAAGATGCCTGGTTTTCTTATTATTATTGCTATCAGGAAATGTAAAACCTAACCCTGGACCGCACAGTAGTAGTAGTCAGATCGCTACTCCTGCTGATTTTAAAGCTAAAATCCCCCCACCTCTCAGAGAGTCCTTTACCTCACTGAGCTGTAGTTATCAGCCTCTCAGGCTGACAGGACAGGACTCTCCCTCCACCTCTCAGAGAGCCCTTCACCTCACTGAGCTGTAGTTATCAGCCTCTCAGTCTGACAGGAGAGGACTCTCCCTCCACCTCTCTGAGAGTCCTTCACCTCACTGAGCTGTAGTTATCAGCCTCTCAGTCTGACAGGAGAGGACTCTCCCTCCACCTCTCAGAGAGTCCTTCACCTCGCTGAGCTGTAGTTATCAGCCTCTCAGTCTGACAGGAGAGGACTCTCCCTCCACCTCTCAGAGAGTCATTCATCTCACTGAGCTGTAGTTATCAGCCTCTCAGTCTGACAGGAGAGGACTCTCCCTCCACCTCTCAGAGAGCCCTTCATCTCACTGAGCTGTAGTTATCAGCCTCTCAGTCTGACAGGAGAGGACTCTCCCTCCACCTCTCAGAGAGTCATTCATCTCACTGAGCTGTAGTTATCAGCCTCTCAGTCTGACAGGAGAGGACTCTCCCTCCACCTCTCAGAGAGTCATTCATCTCACTGAGCTGTAGTTATCAGCCTCTCAGTCTGACAGGAGAGGACTCTCCCTCCACCTCTCAGAGGGTCCTTTACCTCACTGAGCTGTAGTTATCAGCCTCTCAGTCTGACAGGAGAGGACTCTCCCTCCACCTCTCAGAGAGTCCTTCATCTCACTGAGCTGTGGTTATCAGCCTCTCAGTCTGACAGGAGAGGACTCTCCCTCCACCTCTCAGAGAGTCCTTCACCTCACTGAACTGTAGTTATCAGCCTCTAAGCTCTACAAAGAGCGGCGAGTGGATAGACCGATTCACGGACTTTCCGCATAGCAAAAGTGGGGGGGGTCTAAATGAATCATTTTAAAAGGTGGGGGGGATTTGTCCCACCCTCATATAATGGCTGTGACGCCCATGTTTATATGAATGCATCTGCCAATAGCCTGGTCAAGTTAGATGCTGCGTATCACAGCGCACTGAGATGTGTGACACACTGTAAAGCACTAACCCATCACTGCACCCTGTATGCAAGGGCTGGTCTGCTTTCACTAACTGCACGGAGGCTCAGTCACTGGTACCTTTTTATATACAAAGCCATGTTAGGGAAACTTCCATCTTACATCTGCTCCCTGATCTCAGGGTGAATTGTAAGTGGCTACTGCCTGAGATCGCATGCTGTGGTTTTATTAAATGTGCCAACTGCTAGGACTGTCTTAGGGAAGACAGCTTTCAGATGCGCAGCTCCTCTGTCTTGGAATAGTCTGCAAATGAAATGGAAACTGAACAATCTGGTGCCACTAAATGTTTTTAAAGCTCGGTTGGATGCGACTCAATGGGAAGCTGTTGGTACCATTATGTAAATGATGCTGTATGATGTCCTTTTGTTGTTCTGTTTATGTTGTTATGTTTCATGTGGAACCTACTTGAGCAGGTCTGCCTTGGAAAAGAGATCAATGATCTCAATGGGATTTATCTGGATAAATCAAGGTTTGAAATGAAATGAAGACAGGCAGACAGACAGCTGTCTCACCTCTCGTCGTTGGGTCCAAACAGTGGGTGCTGCCCAGCGAACCCCGGCAGGTTGATGTGATCTTTGATGATCATGATGTCTCCCACTTTATAGTCGGGACAGATCGCCCCCGAGGCGTTGGTCACCAGGACCGTCTCCACCCCCATCAGCTTAAAGATCCGCACCGGGAATGTCACCTGAGATAGGTGAGAGACAGACAGGTGAGAGACAAACAGGTGAGAGAACCAGGTAAGAGACATAAGGAAACTCCAGAACCTTGTGACCCCCTAAATCAATCAATCAATCAATCAATCAATCAATGTGTATTTATATAGCCCAATATCACAAATGTTACATTTGTCTCAGTGGTCTTCACAGTGTGTACAGAATATCAGAATGACAATACGACACCCTCTGTCGTTAGACCCTCTGTCCTCAGACCCTCTGTCCTCAGACCCTCTGTCCTTAGACCCTCTGTCCTTAGACCCTCTGTCCTTAAACCCTCTATCCTTAAACCCTCTGTCCTTAGACCCTCTGTCCTTAGACCTTCTGTCCTTAGACCCTCACATCGTACAAGGAAAAACTTCCGGAGAAAACCCACAGTTTAAAGGGAAACATGGGAGAAACCTCAGGGAGAGCAACAGAGGAGGGATCCCTCTCCCAGGACGGACAGACGTGCAACAGATGCCGTGTGTAAATTGAAGAGATAATACATTTGCAACATAGGTAGTCCAAATGTTTGGAAATGCATGTGTGTATAATAGGAAGATGAATCCACGAGGATATCCATCCAGGACCTATGATCCAGGACCACAGCCACGACTCAAGATCCAGGGCTCGCGATCCAGGACAGAGGAGCGCAGGATCATCCATGACTCCGGATCCCGGCGTATATAGACACCAAAAAGAAAGACATGTGGGGAAGCTGGGTTAATCGGAACATGAGAGTACACAGGTACAGACAGAGAGAAGGAAGAAGTAAGATGTCCCCCGACAAACTAAGCCTATATCAGCAAAACTAGGGGCTGAATCTAATCAGCCCTAACTATAAGCTTTATCAAAAAGGAAGGTCTTAAGCGCACTCTTAAAAACGGATAGGGTGTCTGCCGCCCGAACACAAACTGGAAGCTGATTCCACAAATGTGGAGCTTGATAAGAAAAGGCTCTGGCTCCCATTGTACTTTTAGAGACTCTAGGAACAACCAACAACCCTGCATTCTTGGAACGCAATGCCCTAGTAGGACAGTAGGCTATAATGAGTTCTTTAAGGTAAGATGGCGCCTGCCCATTAAGGGCTTTGTAGGCGAGAAGAAGAATTTTAAATTCTATCCTGTGTTCTATAGGGAGCCAGTGTAAGGCAGCCAGAACAGGAGTAATGTGGTCCCTTTTCCTAACTCTGGTTAGTACACGAGCTGCAGCATTTTGAATCAGCTGAAGCCACTTCACTGACTTCTTGGTACACCCTGATAATAAAGAGTTACAATAATCCAGCCTTGAAGTAACAAATGCATGGACTAGTTTCTCTGCATCGTTTTGAGGCAAGATATGCCTGATTTTTGCAATGTTACGTAGATGGAAGTAGGCGGTCCTTGAGATTGATTTTATGTGGGCGTTAAAGGATGAATCCTGATCAAATATAACACCAAGATTCCTTACAGTCTCACTGGAGGCCAAATTAATGCCATCCATAGTTAGTATATCCTTAGATAATTTGTTTTACCCTCCTAAACCCTTCTCTAGAACTCCAGACTACGGAGGTTCAGCCTTTATCAGGGTACCCTCCTAACGCAGCGTCCACACGGCAGCGTGCGTTGAAGCTTGCCGGTGGGTGTGTCTGAAACTCGACCAACAACCAATCACATGAATCTCCCGCCCCGGACAAACAAGCACGCGGTTTGATTGGCCAGAGCTTGTACTGGCATATTATTTGATTGGCTGACGCTTCCGTCGAAGCTTCAAAAGTAGAACATTGCTCAACTTTTGAAGCGAGCAACGCGAGCAAAGTGAAGCGACGCTCCCACAATGCAGTTCGGCAAAGCATGACGTCACCCCATTCAAAGTGAATGGGCAGAAGCGTTGAAGCTTCAACGCACGCCACCGTGTGGACCGGCCGTTAAGGCTCCATAGAAACATCCCAAGACCCCTGGGTTCCCCCCATGGACCCTTAAACAACATAACCTCAGGTTCTCATGGAGAGCCCCTAGCATACTTGCCAACCCTCCCGATTTTCACGGGAGACTCCCGATTTCCTCCCGTGATCATATTTCTCCCACATTTCTCCCGATTTCTGACAAAATCAGATTTACCCTGGACTGTTTCCACTCGGACTTTAATGCAGCTACACCATTGTTTGGTTTCCATGGTAGCGCGTCTCTTTAGTAGCGCGTGCAACTGAAAGTCTGAGAGGGTGAGGAAGATGGTCACAGAAAACTGAACAAGAATCGACAACTCCACCCTCTGCTCACTCCTTTCCTGTAAAATACAGGTCCAGCCCACACGCTCCATCAAGGATGGTGCTTCAGGCCGCAAGGCAGTGCACTTACAACTACAATAAGAATGTTAATGTTAATCTAACAGCTCCGACAATCCACTAGCACCCCCGCAACCCCCCGCGGTGGTTTTGAAATGCTCCCGATGGTCTGAAACCACCTCGTTCAGGTTGTTCAGTTCACTTCAGAGGTCTGAGACCACCTCTTTCAGGTTGTTCACTTCACTTCAGAGGTCTGAGACCACCTCGTTCAGGTTGTTGAGTACACTTCAGAGGTCTGAGACCACCTCTTTCAGGTTGTTCAGTTCACTTCAGAGGTCTGAGACCACCTCTTTCAGGTGGTTCAGTTCACTTCAGATGTCTGAGACCACCTCTTTCAGGTGGTTCAGTTCACTTCAGATGTCTGAGACCACCTCTTTCAGGTTGTTCAGTTCACTTCAGAGGTCTGAGACCACCTTTTTCAGGTGGTTCAGTTCACTTCAGATGTCTGAGACCACCTCTTTCAGGTTGTTCAGTTCACTTCAGAGGTCTGAGACCACCTCTTTCAGGTGGTTCAGTTCACTTCAGAGGTCTGAGACCACCTCTTTCAGGTTGTTCAGTTCACTTCAGAGGTCTGAGACCACCTCTTTCAGGTTGATCAGTTCAGGGGTCTGAGACCACCTCTTTCAGGTTGTTCACTTCAGAGGTCTGAGACCACCTCTTTCAGGTTGATCACTTCAGAGGTCTGAGACCACCTCTTTCAGGTTGATCACTTCAGAGGTCTGAGACCACCTCTTTCAGGTTGATCAGTTCAGGGGTCTGAGACCACCTCTTTCAGGTTGTTCACTTCAGAGGTCTGAGACCACCTCTTTCAGGTTGTTCACTTCAGAGGTCTGAGACCACCTCTTTCAGGTTGATCACTTCAGAGGTCTGAGAGCACCTCTTTCAGGTTGATCACTTCAGAGGTCTGAGACCACCTCTTCCAGGTTGATCACTTCAGAGGTCTGAGACCACCTCTTCCAGGTTGATCACTTCAGAGGTCTAAGACCACCTCTTTCAGGTGGTTCAGTTCACTTCAGAGGTCTGAGACCACCTCGTTCAGGTTGTTCAGTTCACTTCAGATGTCTGAGACCACCTCTTTCAGGTTGTTCACTTCAGAGGTCTGAGACCACCTCTTCCAGGTTGATCACTTCAGGGGTCTGAGACCACCTCTTTCAGGTGTTTCAGTTCACTTCAGGGGTCTGAGACCACCTCTTTCAGGTGTTTCAGTTCACTTCAGAGGTCTGAGACCACCTCTTTCAGGTGTTTCAGTTAACTTCAGAGGTCTGAGACCACCTCGTTCAGGTTGTTCAGTTCACTTCAGAGGTCTGAGACCACCTCTTCCAGGTTGATCACTTCAGAGGTCTGAGACCACCTCTTCCAGGTTGATCACTTCAGGGGTCTGAGACCACCTCTTCCAGGTTGATCACTTCAGAGGTCTGAGACCACCTCTTTCAGGTTGATCACTTCAGAGGTCTGAGACCACCTCTTCCAGGTTGATCACTTCAGAGGTCTGAGACCACCTCTTTCAGGTGGTTCAGTTCACTTCAGATGTCTGAGACCACCTCTTTCAGGTTGATCACTTCAGAGGTCTGAGACCACCTCTTTCAGGTTGTTCAGTAAAACTTCAGAGGTCCGAGACCATGTCTAAGACCACCTCTTTCAGGTTGTTCAGTTCACTTCAGAGGTCCGAGACCACCTCTTTCAGGTTGTTCAGTAAAACTTCAGAGGTCCGAGACCACGTCTAAGACCACCTCTTTCAGGTTCTTCAGTTCACTTCAGAGGTCTGAGACCACCTCTTTCAGGTTGTTCAGTTCACTTCAGAGGCCGGAGACCACCTCTTTCAGGTTGATCACTTCAGAGGTCTGAGACCACCTCTTCCAGGTTGATCACTTCAGAGGTCTGAGACCACCTCTTTCAGGTGGTTCAGTTCACTTCAGAGGTCTGAGACCACCTCTTTCAGGTTACATTACATTACATTGCATTTAGCTGACGCTTTTATCCAAAGCGACTTACAATAAGTACATTCGACCAGGAAGACACAACCTTGAAGAAAACAGAATCATAAAGTACATCAGGTTTCATAGAGCCAAACATTTCAAGTGCTACTCAACTGGCTTTAGGTAAGCCAGTCCTTTATTAGTATAAAAGTGCTTCGTTAATAGTTCTATCGCTCGAAGTGGAGTCGAAAGAGATGAGTTTTCAGTTTGCGCCGGAAGATGTGCAAGCTATCTGCCGTCCTGATGTCAATGGGGAGCTCATTCCACCATCCTGGAGCCAGGACAGCAAACCCACGTGTTTTCGCCGATGGGAACTTGGGTCCCCCTCGCAGCGAGGGTGCAGCGAGTCGTTTGGCTGATGCAGAGCGTAGTGCACTCGCTGGGGTGTACGGTTTAACCATGTCCTGGATGTAAGAAGGGCCAGATCCATTCGCAGCATGGTAAGCAAGTACCAGTGTCTTGAAGTGGATTCTAGCAGTTACCGGAAGCCAGTGAAGCGAGCGGAGGAGCGGAGTGGTGTGGGAACATTTAGGAAGGTTGAAGACCAGACGAGCCGCTGCATTCTGGATGAGCTGCAGAGGTCGGATGGCACATGCAGGTAGACCAGCCAGGAGGGAGTTGCAGTAGTCTAGGCGTGAGATGACGAGAGCCTGGACCAGAACCTGCGTGGCTTTCTGGGTCAGCTGGAGAC